TCAAAAGAGTCTGGTACTGGAACAAGAACAGGCATATAGACCATGGAACAGAACAGAGAACCCAGAAATGGACCGAAGGCAATATGCTCAATTAATATTTGACAAAGGTGGCAAGAGCATACAGTGGAGTAAGGACAGCCTCTTTAATAAATGGTGTTGGGAAAATTGGACAGCTACATGCAATAAAATGAAACTAGACTATCAACTTACACCATACACAAGAATAAGCTCAAAATGGATAAAAGACTTAAATGTGACTCAAGAATACATAAAAATCCTAGAAGAAAATGTAGGCAACAAAATTTTAGACATCATATGCAGCAGAATTTTCACTGATACATCACCTAAGGCACCAGAAACAAAGGAGATCAAGAATACATAAAAATTCTAGAAGAAAATGTAGGCAACAAAATTTTAGACATCATATGCAGCAGAATTTTCACTGATACATCACCTAAGGCACCAGAAACAAAGGAGAAAATGAACACATGGGACTACATAAACTCAAAAGCTTCTGCACAGCAGAAGATACAACCCTCAAAATGGAAAGGCAACCCACTGTATAATTGCCATAATTGCCAATGATATATCAGATAAGGGGTTAATTTCCAAAATATATAGAGTGCTCATACAACTCAACAAAAGGAAGACAAAGAACCCAATTAAAAAATGGGCAGAGGAACTAAATAGACACCTCTCCAAACAGGACATCCAAATGGCCAAGAGACGAAGAAATGCTCAACATCACTAATCATCAGAGAGATGTAAATTAAAACAACAATGAGGTATCATCTCACACCTGTCAGAATCGCCACCATCAACAAATCATCAAACAAGTGTTGGCGAGGGTGTGGAGAAAAGGAACTCTAGTACACTGCTGGTAGGAATGCAGACTGATGCAACCACTATAGAAAACAATATGGTGTTACCTCAAAAAATTAAAAATTGAACTTCCATTTGACCCAGTGATCCCACTTCTAGGAATATACCCTAAAAAGCTTGAAACACCAATAAGAAAGAATATATGTACCCTCATGTTTATAGCAGCAGTATTTACAATTGCTAAGATCTGGAAACAACCCAAATGTCCATCAGTAGAAGAATGGATAAAAAAGCAGTGGTACATATGCACAATGGAGTACTATGCAGCTGTAAGAAAGAAAGATCTCTTATCCTTTGAGACGACATGGAGGGTCCTGGAAAGTATTATCCTAAGCGAATCAAGCCAAACAGAGAAAGAGAAGTATCATATGATCTCACTTATTTGTGGAATATAATGAACATAACAGTCTGAGGAATGGAGTAATCCCGGAGACGTGGAAGTGGAGTACAGACTGACAATCCCCAGAAGAGGGGGTGGTGGGAGAGAGATAAACTACAAAACTTATATGCATGTATGTATAAACAATGGACATGGTCAATAAAGCTGGGGACAGGGCTGGGAGGGTGGGGGAGGGGGGAATCATTGGGGGAAAAACATCTGTAACAAAAATAAATGAATAAATTTAAAAAAACTAAATAGTATTCCATTATGTGTATATATCATATTTTCTTTATTCATTTGTTGATTGACACTCTTGTTGTTTCCACATCTTGGCTATTGTGAATAATGCTGCAATGAACATAGGCATGCAGATGTTTCTTAGAGATGCTAGTCTCAATTTTTTTTTTTTTTTGTATATATACACCCAGAAATGAGAATGCTGGATCTCATGGTAGTTCTATTTTTAATATTTTGAGGACTGTCTATACTTTCTTTATAGCTGCTGTGCCATTTTACATTCTTATCAACAGTGTAGAAGGTTTCCAGTTTCTCCATAACCCAACCAATACTTATCCTTTGCTTTTTTCAATAAATAATTGCCATATGGAACTACTGAAGACCCAGGTTAGCCAAAACAATCTTGAGAAAGAAGAACAAACCTAAAGGTGTCATATTCTGATTTCAAATTGTATTACAAAGTTATAATAGTTAAAACATAAAGACAGACATATAGGCCAATGCAACAGAATAAAGAGCCCATAAATAAATCCATACATATACAGACAACTAATCTTTGACAAGGATACTAAAGAACACACAATGGGGAAAGAACAGATTTTTTAACAAATGGTGCTGGAAAAACTGGATATCTACATGCAAAAAAGAAAAAGAGAAAAAAGAAATTGGACCCCTACCACTCATCATATACAAAACTCAGCTTGAAATGGATTAAAGATTTAAACATAAGACCTAAACATGTAAAACTCCTAAAAAATAGAGGAAAATCTTTATAATATTGGTCTTGACAATGATTTCATAGATATAAAACCAAAAGCACAGGCAACAAAAGCAAAAGTAGTCAAGTGAGACTACACCAAACTCAAAATCTGCACAGCAAAGGAAACAATCATCAGAGTAGAAAGACAACCTACAGAATGGAAGAAAATATTTGCATTTTTACAAGTGTTTAATTTCCAAAATATATATCTTATAAGGAGTTAATTTCTAAGCTAAATAAGAAATCTTATGAGAGGCTAAATTCCAAAATATGTAAGAAATCTTATAAGAGGTTAACTTCCAAAATATATAAAAAACGTCTATAATTCAATAGCACAAAACCAAACAACCTGAATGAGAAAAGAGCAAAGGGCTTCTATAGACATTTCTCCAAAGAAGAATTACAAATGGTCATCAGATATATGATATAATGTTCAACATGATTATCAGGGAAATATAAAATAAAATAAAAATTTATCGTGGAAATGTCCTTGGTGGTTGCCTATTGTGACATATTCTTTATAATATATTGATGTTTTCTTTCACCTAGTTTCACTCCTCCTGTATCTCATATTGTTCCCCCCTCTAAGATTATATTTCCAAATAAATTGATTACACATAAGGCTTTTTTTGGGGGTGGAGGGAATCCATGAAACACATGTTCTAGTTGAGATACAGAAGGAGAAACCCAATTGCCCAATGATGAAAATCAGTGCACAGGCCAAGGTCAGAGAAATCATGTGATAGCACAGTGTAAGAAACTTGAAATTGACCAAGGACTGTCTTTGGAAGCTCTGGAACTAGGCTATTCAGTAGAGTTTGCCACTAGACCACGTGCCTACTTAAAATTAAATGTAGGACTCAGACTCTTAAACCTGTGTGAATTATGAGATAATAATTATATGTTGTTTTAAGACACTAAACTTGTGGTGATTTATTATACAATAATGGAAAACTAAACTAAAACTAATGACAAAATGTAAACTTTTAAGCAAAAATTGTAATTTTGTGTTCAAAGAGTGAGGTTTAGACATTCCCCTCAAATCCACAGCATTATCGAATGAGAGTATAGACAACTCAACATCCCAGCAAACATCAAATAAGCTCCTACCATTTGGCAGGCACTTGGTTCTGCAGAGGTGAGGGGGTGGCAGGGAGGTGTGGGAGTTGTTGAACATAATGCAGTAAAGAGACAGAGGGCAAAGAGGGACAGGGGTCTAAGCAACATGGCGGAGAAGCAAGTACAATACGTAGGGAGATTCAGGAAGCTGGTTGGGAAAGGGTTGGCATAGATCACCTAAAATACTCTCCTGAACAAGGAACAGGAGGAAACAGCTTGCAACCCAGTGGGAACTCCCTTATTGAACAGTTCTCATCTAAACCAGATACTATCTTCTGTTTTCTTCAGCACAAATGGAGAATCATGGTGCTGCTGGGACAGAGGAAACCAAGATCTACCCATGAAGAGAACCACATGTACATTTCTTTATCAGCACAGGTGACATCTGCATCTGAGCTGGAAACATGCAGTTTTACCACCTGTGGGTAGTTTGTACCTCCAAGTCCTCACACAGATGCAGTATCCTACCATCTACTGTTGGCTCTGTGAATGGCATTCTACTTCCTAGAGAGAAAGGAACTGAGGGAAGAGGAGGAGCTTGGACCCCAAGGAGAACTCTACCTCTGCCAAATAACCTTGCTGTCTAAGTTTAAAGGCCGTGGGCAATATGGGAGTCCTTGGTTGTGAGTGGGTTGGAGGGAGTGGTGTTCCGGAGGGATTTTTCATAAAAAGATTTAGAATTGCATTGGGGTTTATGTGGGATATTTCCTTCCTTCTCTTTCTCCTTCCTTCCCTCACTGGGCATTCAGTGAAAGGCAAACACTGACTAAGGTGATTAAATCAGCATGTATGTGTGTGTGTTTCATGATTTTGGAGATGTGTGTGTGTGTGTGTGTGTGTGTGTGTGTTGTGTCTGAGTGTGAGTATTTAAGTGTTTGGCTTCCTGGTGTTGGGGCATCAGGAAGAGAGGATGAGTGAAGAACAGATAATCATTTTGAAATATGCACAAGTATTATTTCTTTGGAATAATAATGATAAATAATAAAATAAACTGAACAGAATAATGACTATTTGGGCACAAGGACTCCGGGTCAGAGATGGCTTGAAGCAGGGACCATCTGCATTCAGATATAATGCACTCGGGCAAGAAGAAAGCCCTGCTCTAGCTGAGGTGCCCAAAGTACCTGCTCTCCCATTAGCAGCCCTGTGTGTACAGCAGTCACACATACACATCTGCACATTCTCAGTGCCTGGATCGGGCACTTTTTGACAACAGCCCTCATAACCAGTCCTGCTGTGAGCAGTTCCTACTTCATGTTGAGAGAACAGTGAAGAAAGCTGAGTCAACCAATGACACACATAGCCAGTTATGGAGTTAAACATAATTTAATGGGGGCAAAGCATTGAAGAATCACTCGATCCTCCCCGCACAATCACTTTCCAAATGAGCCCTGAGTGGCTAGAAGACTAGCTCAGCCAATGAGACTTTCAGCCTTATTCAGGGACTCAGAAACCCTCCAGACTGGGTGTGAGGGACATCTTTCTGGAGGATGCAAAAAGGGAGGGGTTATGACTCAAGGTGACAGCATGCTAACTGTAAGTGGGACAGGCAAGCAGAATAGAGAGGAGATTCAGCATTCAGCAGTTGGTTCCTCAAGGACATGGCTGTGGATGACCATGTTACTTCTGCTTGGTCTGCTGAATTGGTGCTGGTGTTGAGGGACATGGCTCCGGCACCTTGGTGTGGCAGGGCTCCGGCACCTTGGTGTGGCAGGGCTCCGGCACCTTGGGGTGGCAGGGCTCCGGCACCTTGGGGTGGCATGGCTCAGGAACCTTGGTGTGGCAGGGCTCCGGCACCTTGGTGTGGCAGGGCTCCGGCACCTTGGTGTGGCATGGCTCAGGCACCTTGGGGTGGCAGGGCTCCAGCACCTTGGGGTGGCATGGCTCAGGAAACTTGGGGTGGCAGGGCTCTGGCACCTTGGTGTGGCAGGGCTCCGGCACCTTGGTGTGGCATGGCTCAGGAACCTTGGGGTGGCATGGCTCAGGAACCTTGGGGTGGCAGGGCTCCTTGGTTTGGGGGACACATGGTTCCTGGGGTGGAGGCTGGCAGGGCTGCTTCACCTGCTGCTGCTGCAGCTGAGGGGGTGTGGTGCAGGGCTGCTTCTGCTGGTGGGAACTCATGGTTCAAAGGAGGCTGGACCTAGAGACAGAACAGATGGTGAAAAAGGGATCAACTCGGGAAGAAGCCAGTCCAATGCCAAATAGGTTTAATTTCAGGCCCCTTTATAAGAGTGAGCCTCATCTCTCCCCTGGCTGTCCTCCACTTGAGAGTAAAGTATGCTTTGATAATTTCTGGGCCCTTTTAAGAGAAGGAGCTTAAAGCCAATTTGTTTGCCCCATTTCAGTGGGATTCATTGCTCAGCTCCCTTTCTTCCCCAGTCATGTCACATTGCTCATTGACAAGTACCCACACTAGGTCTTTGGGAAAGTGATAGCTTAGAAACGACTGTGGCCCTGGCTGGTTTGGCTCAGCGGTTAGAGCATTGGCCTGCGGTCCGGAGAGACCCAGGTTCAGTTCCCGCTAAGGGCATATACCTCGGTTGCAGTTTGTCCCCGGCCCTGGTAGGTCGTGCGGATGGCAGCCACTCGATATGTCCCTTTCACGTCGATGTTTCTCTCTCTCTCTCTCTCTTCCTCTCTCTCCCTCCCACTCTATCTGTGCAAAAAATGGAAAAAAATGTCCTCGGGTGAGGATGGAAACGACTGTGGTCCGCCCACTCCTGGTACTACACAGCACACCTGTGACTTACAGGATGACTCTACAGGAATCCAAGCTCCTGCAACCTCACTCTGGCCTGGTTTACTCAGTGTCCCCCCTACCCCCGAAATGCCTTTCCTTCCACCTCTGCCATCCGAATACTCCTCCACTGTAGCTCACATCATGTGTGGTCACTGGGAACTCTTCATGAGTGCGGTTCCCCAGCTGCCATAGCCCTTCCCTGCCCCCCTCCCTATACCAATCACTGTCTGCTTTGTTTCATCTAAGTATGTACATGAATTATCTTCCCTGCTGGGTTATGAGTTTGTTAAATAAGTTCCTATGGGTATGATTTACCCAAAGTGCTTAGCGTAGTGCCTTAAATATAATATAGGCTCAGTAGAGGCCTATCATATGAATTACACTTTTTATAACAAGTCTTATAAACAGAGAGGACAGTGGTGTTTCTGAGGGTGCTCTGGGCCTGAGTTCCAGTTGTAATCATGCTTTTAACGTACTGTAGGATTTTGCACAGAGCTGCCCCCTTCCCTGACCACAGTTTCATAGCTGTCCACTGAGTTGGCTGACTTAACCAACTACTAAGTCCTCTTTAAACCCAAACTGCTCTTTAATTTAAAATGAAAACATCCCAATAATCTCAGTCTCCAAGTCATACCCAGAATCAGCCTTCTTACACATTTGCCTCTGTCTAGTTTCTAATAAAAATATAATAAAAAAATAAACAATAATAATAAAATAAGCAAGAGTTTCACACCGGTCCTGATCAGGACTTACCTGGTACGCAGCGAAGAACAGGTTTTCTGGTCCCTCTGGTCTGGTGTAAAGTTAGTGGCCAGCTGGCTTTTTATAAGGTGACTGAGCCCTGCCTTAAGAAAATAGAATCATCCCGGGCCCCTGTTTTCATTCCTTATCTGTCAAACATGATTCACCCCACTCCCCTCAATTACCAGTTGGCACAGCTTCTGTGTTGAAAACCACCCACTTGGTATTTTTTGGCACAGGCTGCCTACCAGTGATGTCACCCGGGCCCAGTTCCCACTGCCACCCTCCCCCTTAGCCCCCAGGTAGCGCTCGTGTTGGACACTGGGTGAGCCACAGGCTTCCTGCAGGGTTTTATAAATTAACTCTGGAGGGAAATCTGAGTCCTTTTGTGATCTTGCCACCTTTTAGCTCTTTTTCTTTTTTCTTGAGATGGTTGTTCCTCGTGTTCTGTGGAATAGAATACATTTGGGCACATGAACAAGTGGGGAGGAGCAGAGGTGGGCACGAGTTGTCCGCCTTATGAAGGGAGACAGAAGCCAGAGATCATGGAATTGACTGAATACAGACTCCTTGTCTGGGGGCTTCAACACCATTAGATCCATTTCCTCCATCGTTCTCCTAACTCCATTGAACTACACACATTCAGAATTACTTAATTATTACCTCCCCCAACCCCACCCCTCCCTGACTGGTTGCTAATCTGGGTAAACTTGCTTTGGTTTCACCAGCCACACCTTCACCCCTCTCCTATTTAAAAGATTTTCAAGGTCTAATTCATCTTCTGGGATAACCTTTCCCTCCACTCCACCCAGCCTTCTGGCTGTGACCATTTCCTCCTTCCTAACCTGACCGTATACCAACCCCACCACCTGAAATCCTGGAGCCTCTTCTAACTGCCTGCACCCCATCCCATCCACGGAGCCCTCAGTGATGCTCCCCACACCGCTTGCCCACTTCCAACACCTGGAGCTCTTGCTGGCTGCAGTGTCTGCCCCCTGCTCCCTGGCTCTGTGTTTCCTGGGGGCTTTCTGAGTGTCAGATCTATGCTTGCTCAAAACAATGGTGTTCCCTCCTCGTTCATTCAGTGAGTATTAACAGAGTCCTTAGTCAGTCACGGCTCATTCTAGGAGTTCTCTGTACCCAGATTACTTCTCCTCATCAGATGGGGATCCCCTGGGGCGAGAGACACAGCGGCATAGACCCACTAGTGTAACGGACCCCGGAGAGTCTTGTCCACACTCCTCACGTGACGGTCCGGGAACGCGAGGCTGCAGGCAGTGAAGTAACTCACCCAGGTCAAACAGCAAGCCCCAAGAGAAAAGGAATTCTGCACAGAAACCCTGTGTCCCCCTTTGTCCTTGCCGCTACAGAGGAAATTAAGAGGAATGTGATTGAAGGTGGAAAGGGGGAGCCCTGACTTCCTGGCTTGGAGCGGGGTCCACTCATAGTCGTGGGAAAGCTTTGTGTGTGTGGCACTGTGAAGAGGTCTCCCTGTGGTAAGCCCTTCATCTCTGCTAGGACAGACCCACTTAGGTGGTCACACATCTGCTCCGTGTTGGAAGAGGCTGGGGATGAACAGAAGGCGTTTCTAGCTCTGCTGAGAACAGGAGGGGACACCAATTAGCACAGTGGAAACAAGGCACTAAGTCAGTTTGTCATCACTCAGTGGACCAGGGTCTGAGGGGAAGGAAAAGGCTCACAGGCCTGTTTTGAAAGAGTTGCTTTCACTCCGGAGGAGGTCCCAGGCGGGCGTGATGACAGAGCCTGGGTACCCTGACCATAAGGACAGTAAATGGCAGGTGAGCAGCCCCTGAGCACCTGCCCAGGTACATCTTCCCTCCACTATGGTCAGGTCCTGAAGATTCTTTCTTTCATGGTCTTCTCTTTTCTGAGGTCATAAAAGCAGGGATCCCTTGCGTCTTTACACCAGCAATTTCCTTTGATCATTATAACATAAAACTGAAGTTCAGAGCTGCCCTCGAAACAGAATCTGTTACTAGGTGTGACCTTAGGAAAAAACCGAAGCACCCTCATAACCCAGGTGTGTGGACAGTGCCTCCTCCTCATTCCCCTCCACCGCCACCAAACACACACCTAAATATTCGTGAAGCACCTGCTGAGTCACCTCTCGTTAACTTCGGTCCTGTACCAGCCTCCCACAGTGTGCCTACAACCATCGGTCTGCCTCCATCTTCCCATGTACCTGGTGTGCAGTAGCTGGTCGGTGAGCTGGCCATGATGGAATGAGTGACTGACTGGCTGGATGCATGATTAATGAATAAATTACCGAATGGCATTATTTGTCAAGAGAGGCCCAGAGACTGCTGGAAAGTCTCTCATCTTTGGGGATGAGCTGAGGAAAGAAGTCTCAGCAAAGGACAGACAGCATTTCTGCTGCCTTCCCCACACATCAGCTTCACTGTCCATCGGTTTAACCACCCACCTGCCTCTGGCTGCCACCAGCACCGTGGCCACAGCTGAGCTCCAAGCCTCTCGCCTCACTTTGGCTCCCCTCTGGGCTTGAGCTAGGTCCCCCTTTTGCCCAAACTCCCTCCCAGGAGCCCCTGCAGAGGGAGCACCAGGAGGAACCTGCGCTGCACCCGGTGGAATTCTCAGCCTCAAGGAACCTGCTTTCTGCTCCTCTGTTCTACCCTCCCAGCTGTCTCAGGCCCTGGAGGGTCTGAACCCAGCTCTGAAGTTGGGGTACCCTGTGCCCACCTTTGGCCTTTGCCCTGGATGTGAAGAAATTTCCTTGTCACCCAGTACCCCGCACTGGCAGGGCTCCCCTGCCTGCCTCGACCTGTGCTTCCTCTCCTCCGCCCAACCCCGCTCTGGCTGCAACTCGGAGCTTTTCCGTGACCCCTGACATCATTCTCCCCGTTTCTTTACCTGAGGCACGCTCAGTGGTTGGTGTTCAGTCCGTTCTCCCCTTCAGGTAAGTTTTGATTCACTATCAAAGCTGAACTAGCTGGTGAATCTGGTCCTACAAACTCCACGCATCAAAAAGGGGGAGTCCATCGCCCCGGATTTCTCAGCCTTCCGCAGAAGCCCCTCCTCCGTTCCCAGGAGGCTGCTGCTCTCCCCAAGTCCAGCCTGGCTCCCCTTCGCCAGCTGTGGGCTCCTCCACAGCTCCGAGCAGGCCTCTGGTTGACTACCATTGACAGAGTGGGCAGATTGGCCCTGAGCCCAGCCAGTTACCAGGCCCTTCCCGACAGGTGTCTCCCTCCTCAGTAACTTCCCGAGGCTCAGAGCAGGCAGAGAGTGCCACGCATTGTCCCATAGAAGCCCACGTTTGAAATGTGGCAGCATCTCGAAACAAGCAGTATTAAGAGGGTTCTACTCCCCATGATCACTGTGAGGAGCAGAGTACAGGCTGCTTGTTGCAGGTCGTGATCATTATCGAGAAAAGTTTGTATAACACACAGGCTCCCCACCGGAAAAAGAGGAGGAAAAGGAGGCGGCAACACCAGGCCCCAGGGGTTCAGAAGCCTCCTGAGCACTTTGGTCCAGCTGGCAGGGGAGGCGCAGGTTGTGAGCCTGGATGCAGAGGTGGAGGGAGCGCCCCATGTCCTGGCACCGAGAGCCTGCAGCCAGCACTGTGCCCTACAGCAGGGGAGGGGCAGGCGGGCCGGAGGGACCC